GCTGCAGCACTTGGGGTGGGGAAGCTGGCTGGAGCAGAAGACAAAGCAGCAATTCTCCTGTAGCTGTGCACAATAGACAGCTTAGTGCAGCATGGTCTCAGGGAATGTTTCTCTTTCGCCTACGGGTCATGGGGCTGCAGAGCCAAGCTGGGCCCAGACAGGGTGGAGCTGGGAGCCAGGACTCCTGGGCTCTCTCCCCAATTCCTAGAGACATGTGTGGGCTAGTGGCTAGAGCACAGGGGCTGGGCGTTGGGGCCCATGAGTTTTATCCCTGGCTTTGCCACTGTGGCTTTGCACAGAGTTTGCCTAAGTCCCTGCTCCCTGCCTTAATTTCCATAGCTGTGAAATGGTCCTGGGCCAGCTTTGCCAAGGAGCAGCTGCTGGTGACCTGTCCTCACTGGTACCTGCCCTGGCACAAACTAGCTCATGAGCCCTGGCTGGGAAAGGGGAACTGATCACAGGGCAGACAGGTTCCCCAGAAAAACGTCACAGGGAATGTGCTGCGAACAGCACGTCAATCCTAGAGGTGTGGGCTCCCATAGGGCCTCAGGCAGTGGGGAATGGGGCCTTTCCCTGGCAGGGCACTGACCCCTTCCCTCCCCCAAAGTCCTGCTGTCTCAGCGCATTGAAGAAGGGGACATGAATGGGAAGACGCTGAAGATCACAGACTTCGGGCTGGCACGAGAGTGGCACCGCACCACCAAGATGAGTGCAGCTGGCACCTATGCGTGGATGGCACCTGAGGTGATCAAGGCATCTACCTTCTCCAAGGGCAGTGATGTCTGGAGGTGAGCACTCCCAGGGGAGCCAAGATGCCTGGGTTCCATCGCAGCACTGGCGGGAGTGGGGTCTAATGTCCATTGCCCTCTTTCCTGCCCTCCCAGGTTACCTTGGGGATGAGGGATGCTGCAGATTGTTTCCCTGCACTCACACACAATAACGCTCTCTCCCCCCCAGCTACGGCGTGCTGCTGTGGGAGCTGCTGACCGGGGAGGTCCCATACCGCGGCATCGATGGACTGGCCGTGGCCTACGGCGTCGCCGTCAACAAACTGACACTGCCCATCCCCTCCACCTGCCCCCAACCCTTCGCCCAGCTCATGGCAGGTAAGGGGAGGGGTCATGGTGCCCTGTTCTATCCCAGTGCTGGGAGGGGGTGTGGTCTAGTGGGTAGAGAGACGGCAGGGACTGTGTCTCACCAGGGCCAGATGCTGGGTAACTGGGCAGTTTGCCCCTCCCCCGCTGGATGAGACAGACCCTGCACACTGACGTGTCATTCCCCTCCCAGAGTGCTGGGACCAGGACCCCCATGGACGGCCCAGCTTTGACTCCATCCTGACCCAGCTTACGGCACTGGAGGCTCAGGTGCTGGAGGAGATGCCCCAGGACTCCTTCCACTCCATGCAGGATGACTGGAAGCTGGAGATCCAGGGCATGTTTGATGAGCTGCGAGCCAAGGAGAAGGTACAGCTTCTGTCTGTTCCCCAGTGAGCCCCCCTGCAACCCAGTCCCACATTTCCACTGCACCCCCCCACAGCCCAGCTCCATACTCCCACTCCCCACTGAGTCCCCCACCCTCTACTCCACATGCCCACCCCTATTCAGACTCACCAGTCCCCCAACCTGTTCAGCCCAGCCCCCCATTCCCTACTGAGCCCCCTTAATCCCCACAGTCCAGACCCCCACTCTCCATTCAGACCCTCCAGTCTGCTCCCCCCACAGTCCATACCCCCTACCTACTTACCCCCCACTTTCCACTGGGCCCCCACAGCCAGTCCCTTCCTACAGTCAGGCTCCCCACTCAGTCCTCGTAGTCCAGCCCCCCTCACCCTATAGATCCCCCTGACTTCCTACTGAGCTCCCATGGCCTGGCTCCTGCTCCTTACTGTGCCCACCAACTTCCCATTCCCCACTGAGCCTCCTGACAGTTCTCCACTGCAGTCACACCCCCAGCGCTGCCCCAGCGCTCCCATTCCCCTACAGCGCAGAGCAGCACCCCCTGCTGAGTCCACCCCACACCCCTCCCTCTCCCTAGCACCCAGCTGGCACCCAGGGGCGTTGCAGTCGGCGCTGCTGATAACCCCCGAGTGGTGTGGTGACCCCCTCCCCCTCCCTTGGCAGGAGCTGCTGAGCCGGGAGGAGGAGCTGCAGCGGGCAGCGCTGGAGCAGAAGTCCCATGAAGAGTTCCTGCGGCAGCGGGAGCACCAGCTGGCCCAGTGGGAGCTGGAGGTGTTTGAGCGGGAGCTCACCCTGCTCATCCAGCAGATGAACAAGGAGCCTCCCAACGTGAAGCGCAGAAAGGGCACTTTCAAGAGGAACAAGCTCAAGGGACGGGACAGCGAGAGGATCAGCATGCCCCTGGGTATAGACCAGGGGCTGTGGGGTGGGACTGAGGGGCATTGGCAGGTCTGGCGGGGAGCCCAGGGCTGGGATAGCAGAGCAGTGCAGGTTAGGACTAAGGGGCACTAGCAGGGCTGGAGGAAGCCCAGGCTGGGATAGCCAGGGGCTGTGAGTTGGGACTGAGGGGCATTTATTTGTAGTGCTAAGGGCTAGGCCAACCCAGGGCTCACAGCCGGGGGAGGAAGGACTGGTCACCCATCCTTTGTGCAAGGCCCCCATTTCTCCCTCTGCCACCCTGCTCCCCTCCATGGTGAGGTGCGTGCTCCTCAGGGCTGCCCAGATAATACCCCGTTTGGGGCTTTGGATGGGAGTACAATGGCTTCAGGCTGTGGTTAATCAAGGTTAATTACCTTGTATACTCTGGTTTCCCGGAGGAGCGGAGGGCTATGACACTAACAGAAACACTTGGTGTAAATCTGGAGTAGCCAAGCACATATGAGTGTGGGAACCCACCCAGGGAGCAGAGATCAAAATCTGGCCTTAGCCCCCGTGCAGTTGCGGGTGACTCTGGATTGACCTTAGGGAGCTGAGATCAGAATCCAGCCATGGCCCCTGGGCAGCAGTGAACAGAGATCTTTTGGAGGTGGTCATTTTGGGAGAGGGAGCTGCGCTGACCCATTCGATTCTTCATCCCCCTAGATTTCAAACACCGCATCACAGTACAGGCCTCCCCCGGGCTGGACAAGAGGAAGAATGTCTTTGAGGTGGGGGCTGGAGGCTCCCCGACCTTCCCACGCTTCAGAGCCATCCAGTGTGAGTGAGACACAACATCTGTAAGGGGGTAGGAGCTGGAGTAAGGCTCTGTGCCCACCCTATGAAATAGTGGCTTGGGACTCCCCCTGAACTTGCCCCCACATTGGGGGTGTATCTGCTTGAAGAGGGAGAGCTTTGCTGTCATCACATCTGGCCAATGAGAGAGGCACAGATGATGACATTATATGTATTCATCCATGATGTCATTTCCTTCTGGTCAGTCACAGAAGTACAAACTATGATTAAGGCTGTGATTATGTCACAGAATCTGTGACACTTTCTGCTTCTGTAACTGTCAGCCAGTGGGACACCAGAGATCCCAGTTCTGGAACTCCAAGCTATGGCTCCCAGTTCCTGCAGGCGGAGGTGGGAGGGGACACAGCTCCTAACTACTGTGAGCTGCAGCAGCAGTGGGGCTGGAGCCCCCCTTGCCCCATTTTGCCGGGGTTATTTGTGGTACAGGTCATGGGCTTCTATGAATTAGTGTTTATTGCCCATGATCTGTCTGTTACTTGTACCACAAATAACCCTGGCAAAATCTTAGCATTAACTATGATGTCATAGCTACTTGGCCATGATATACTTTTGTACAATAAGAGCCATCCTGGGAGCTAGTTGTATTAGATATAATCATCCATGGGTTGCTTTATATTCCCCCCTCCCCTAGGGTAGCCAGATGGTTTCAACAAAAATACCAGACACACTTGACATTACATCGCAATCTACATTACATCTTATTTAGAAAATACCGGATATTTACATTTTGTCAATTCGTTTCCTGAACAGAAAGCTCAAATACTGGACTGTCCAATTTAAAACCGGACACCTGGCAACCTACCCTCCTCCCGTACATACATATACACGCACACCTCCTTCCCCTCAGCACTGACTGGCCTGAATTCAGTTACATCACTGGATGTGTCGTTAGTGTGTCCATCTTTACACTGATTGGATGGAGTGAAGTGACATCCCCTATTGTTAAGTCTGATGACCCAACATGGTACAGATAGAAGAAAACAATATTACAGAAAGTTGCTTGTGTTATCATTTCCTGTGGTTATTCTGAGTGGACCAGAGTAAATGAGGTTGGGGGAAGAAGCTGATGGGGGAGGACATAGGGACTTCCTGTTCCATTATGGTCTGTGCTTTGTGCTGATTGGCTGTCAAAAAGACACCACAGTTTTATAACATTGTTACACACAGTGATCAGAGTATCAGAAAGGTAGCTGTGTTTGTCTGAATCTGCAAAAGTGACAAGGAGTCCTGTGGCACCTTATAGACTAACAGATCTGTTAGTCTATAAGGTGCCACAGGACTTCTCATCGCTTTTACAGTGATCAGAGAGAATTACATTTTAACAGAGCATATGATATGATCTCTTGGGCCTCCCTGGCCTGCAGGAAATGCCATCATAAGTGTTGATATGTGATATAATTGCTAGTGATTTCTGATTGGTCAGAATAAAATGATACCTCACAAAGATTGCATGGAATGGAGTTGAGCATGCTTCTAATAAGTCAGAGGGAAATTAAGTAATTAGAATTACATGTGACATCACTTGTGCTTCTCTGATCAGAAAGAAATGACGTCATGGGGAACATGCTGCCATCGTAACATATTCACCTACAATGTCCTTTTTGTCTGATCCATGCTCTCCGCCCTGGGTGGGGGGCTGATGTGATGTCAGTCCCCACTGACCCAAGTGCTTCCTTCTGTGCAGTGGAGCCCGCAGAGAGCAGCCAGAGCTGGGGCAGACAGGCATTGCGCCGCACAGAGGAGTCCTGGAATGGGGAGCGCCGCCCTGGCAAGAACTGGGGTCCTGGATCCCCGAAGCCCTGGGAGGGCAGCACCCAAAATGGCAGGTAGGGGATGCTGCTTCTCCTCCCCATACACACTTCCCCACTGCTCCCTAAGCCCCAGAATTTGTGTTTGGGGAGACGTCCTGGCTGCCCCCTATGGCCACTAACTAAACAATTAGTAATGTTGAGACAAATACTGAGCTGAGAGCCAGCACTCCCAGGTTCTTTCCTAGCTTGGGGAGGGGAGAAAGTTCTAATGTCTGGAGCAGAGGGGCTGGGAGCCAGGACACCTAGATCTCAGTTGTCTGTTCTCTAGCTGCTCCCCCTGGCTGTCCCCCCTGCCTGTCCCTCTCGGGATTCTAACCCCCTCACCCTATCCTCTGCAGAAGGAGATCCCGGCCAGATGAGACGACCTGGTACTTTGACCCAGAGGAACCCAATTCTGTGGAGCTGGCCCCACCCCAGCATGCCCTGAATGGTGAGTCCCCATGGGGGAGGGGATACAGGTTGGCTCTGGTGTCAAGATCAGACAGGTAGGTGAGGTACCCAGAGCGTGTCACTGCATGAACCAGAGGAGGTCTTGCTGATGGGCTGGGCACCACACACTGCCCTCGACTGACATTCGGACTAGGGATGTTAAGAAGCAGGTATTTTGCTAATTCCATAGTGGATAACATTTTTATCAACTACATGATTAGTCAATAAGGGAGGGCGCTCAGTCCTGGCTCGCGCTTGGTGCGGGAGCTACTCTGCAGTTTAAATGAAGTAAGAGCTGGGCTGCCTGCAGGGAGCTGAGACCCCTCGCAGACAGGGGCTGCTGTCAGAACAGCTTCTGTTTGTGGTCAGCCTGGGCTGCAACACACAAGGGCTGCTCCGCAGGATGCAGAGCAGCCTGTGCCCACCACAGACAGAGGCTGCTTCAGTGATGGGGGGAACTGGCTTTTAAGTCAGCTCCCCTAGCACCAGCTCCTGGTTCCCCCACCCCTTGCTGCGTCTGATACAGAGGTAATAAGGGGGGGCGGGAATGTGAGTAGTCAACTTGACTACTCGCTTACATCCCTAATCCGAGCTGGGCAGCATATGCTCCCCTGTTGAGATCAGGCCCTACACAGTACATGCTGGATCAAGAGCCCCCTTGGGCCTGGCTCTGTACAACCTCCTGCCCCATGGCTGCAATCAGAGGCCCCCTTGGGACAGTCCCACACAGAACTACTGGCCACAGTCAGGGCGCCCCCTTATGCTAGGTACCATACAGACCTCCTGGCTGCAATCAGGGGCCCCCTCAGGCCAGGTACCACACAGAGAGACAGTCCGTGTCCAGAAGAGCTCACAGTTGAGTGTGTGTGGGTATGTCTACACTACCCCGCTAGTTTGAACTAGCGGGGTAATGTATGCATACCGAACTTGCTAATGAAGCCCGGGATTTGAATTTCCCGGGCTTCATTAGCATAAAGCCGGCTCCACCATTTTTAAAAGCCGGCTTGTTCGAACCCCGTGCCACGCGGCTACACGCGGCACGGGCTAGATAGTTCGAACTATGCTAGGGGGGTAATGTATGCATACCGAACTTGCTAATGAAGCCCGGGATTTGAATTTCCCTTATGCCTCGTGCAACGAGGCGTACAGATAGATCGGAATGACTACATAGTTCGAACTATCTAGCCCGTGCCGCGTGTAGCCGCGCGGCACGGGGTTCGAACAAGCCGGCTTTTAAAAATGGAGGCGCCGGCTTTATGCTAATGAAGCCCGGGAAATTCAAATCCCGGGCTTCATTAGCAAGTTCGGTATGCATACATTACCCCCCTAGTTCGAACTAGGGTGGTAGTGTAGACATACCCTGTGTGTGAAGATAGATGGGTGCAAGGGATCACTGGGAGGATGAATGGATGGAGGGGAATTCGCTGGAGGGATGGGACATGCTGTCTCTAGCTACATCTACACAGCAACATTATTTCGAAATAACTTAGTCTTCATCTACACAGCTGGCAGTTATTTTGGAAGAGTGTTGAAATACTGTCAAGATGGAGGACTTCTTACTCTGACTCCTATAACCCTAATTATACAAGGAGTAAGGGAAGTTGGAGGAAGAGTGCTCTATTTCGAAATAAGTGCTGTGTAGACACTCCCAATTTCGAAATAAGCTATTTCAAAACAAGCTATGCAATTGACATAGCTCAATTTGCGTAGCTTACTTTAAGTTAAGCCCTGCTGTGTAGATGCACCCTCTGTGTACTGTTCCCTTCACTCACTGGGTGGGGGATTCCTAACATGAGTGGTGGTGTGGGTTATGGCTCTGTCCCTTCTCTGCAGGTGATATCCCAGCTCCAGGCCCCAGTGGGACACAGGAGTCTGAGGAGCAGCGGGCACCAGCTCCGGAGCGGATCAGCACCCCTAAGCTCATCCAGAAAGCACTGCTGAGGGGCACAGCGCTGCTGGCCTCTCTTGGACTGGGCCGAGACCTGTCCCAGGCCCGAAGAGAGGAGAAGGGTGAGCCCCCGCCTGCACCTACACCCCCACCATCCCCTGAGCTCATTCGCTTCTCCCCCAAGGACACACACTGCCCTGCCTTGCTGGTGGAGCTCGACCAGGGAGAGCCAGCCCAGATGCCAGGGTCCATGGAACAGAGCCAGGAAAGGCCAGGCCAGACACCAGGGTCCACAGAACAATGCCAGGACCGGCGGACGCCAGGGTCCACAGAACAGAGCCAGGAGGGGCTGGCCTGGACGCCACAGTCCATGGATCAGGGCCAGGAGGGGCCAGCTCGGACACCAGAATCTGTGGAGTTGCTCATTGACCTGGTCCCAGGTGGTGACAGAAGGTCCCTGACCCCCTTGTGGAGTGAGAAGTCACCAAAGAGCCCACGACATGAGGAGGAATGGAGTCCTGGCAGCAGGGCAAATAAGTGGGGTAAGTGGAGAGTTGCAAAGATGCAGAGACTTCCCCTATAGGGGGCACTGGCTCTGACCCAGATCTGGGGCAAGGGATGGGCTGGCTGAGGTTGGGACAAGGGGGTTGGTAAGTAGGTAACCACCCCCTATTGTTCTAATGTTCTCTGTTCTCTTTCACCGTAGGTGGGGCCCTCCCATCCCCCTCATCCCCCTGCAGCCCCCACTCGCCTCCCCCTTCCCCACACACCAGCCTCATCTCCCGTCCTCGCCCCTCCCCTGTGCGGAGCCGCATTGACCCCTGGAGCTTTGTGTCGGCTGGGCCCCGTGCTTCCCCGGCCCAGTCACCCCAGCCAGAGCCACGCCGTCATCGAGCGGCAACCCCTGACTCCAGCAACCCCTTCGTGACCTCCGACCCATTCTTCCATCCCTCACCGCAACCTTTTGACTTGGAGACCTTTGACCCCTTTGCCTCAGCACCCAGATTGACCAGTCCTTCCTGCCGCCTGGACCATGGCCAACTCAGTCCATACCCCTCGCCCCCTCCACGCCACTCACCTGGTTTTCATGCCCGTCAGGACCAGACCAAAGAGAAACACCCCCTGCCATGGTGGGTGGCCAGATCCGCACAGGAGGAGAGCAGAGTTCCAAAATGAAACAGGCGACGCAGGAAGTCCCACCCTCTTTGGACAGTTGTACACAGGAAGTCCTACAAGGAAAGTGGGTGATATTGGGAATTCCACCCTACACGGACTTTGCATGGAGGAAGTCCAGCCCTCTTTGGACAATTGCACACTGGAAGTCCTGCCCTCCTTGAGCTCTGGGCACAGAAAATCCCATCTCGCATCAATCGTTGTACTAGATACAAGGCTCAGGTTGGGGGTGGGGATCTCTGTGTTGGATGTTTGGGGTGAGTGGGAGGAGCTTTTGCTATACACTGGAGAGGTGGGGGGAGTTCTGGGGGCTCCTAGGGAGTAACTGGGGCACTTCCCCACACCTTAAAGAAAAGACTAATAGTGGCTTAGGCACCCTCTGAGCCAGGTGCCATGATCACTGTGATCCCCAATCCCCAGCTACATGTGACATGAGGTAGTCTGGTCTCTGCCAAACTCCCACTCCTTGTTCTCAGAGACACTGCTTAGGTAATGATCACTGCTTGGGAGTGAGGGGCACCAGCAGAGCTGGGAGAGGCCAGGTTTGGGATAGAAAGGGGCTGCAGGTCAATAGTGAGGGGCACCAGCAGGGCTGGAGCGCTCAGCCCATGTGTTTCAAGAACACTAGTAGTGAACTCCCTTGCTCCCAATGTGGGGTCCTGGTGTCTGGTTGGGACTAAGCCACCCCTCCAAGGCAGCAGCCCCTTTGGTGGATAGCAGGCATTTGTCATAGGGATGTTCCTGTGTGGGGCTGATATGGGATGAACACCGCCCCCTCCATTGCTACATTCCTGAGCATTGACTGGCTGTAGGTGAGCATGTGCCTGGGTGTGCAAGCATCCATGTGCATGTAAGGCTGGGAGATGTGTACTTGGGCAAGTGTGCAAAGCATCAGCTGGTGCACATGCGTGCAGCTACCCCAGTGCCTTTGTGCTTGTGTCTGTGGGTGTGTGTGAAGCCAGAAGCATGGGAGTGTATGTGACGACTGTTTCGGGTGGGGTCTGAGTGCAGCCTGTGAAGCTGGGCATGTTTGCCCATGCATGGGCCAGAGACAAGTGTGTCTGTGAGCTGGCATGCCATTACCTGCTCTTCCAGTTTGCTGCTCCCCCCCTCACCCTGGAGTGCCCATTAACTCTGTCCCTTCCTCCAGCAGTGAGTTCCTGCCCTGGGGGCAGGGAGGGGGACTGGGTCATGTCAATACCTCCTATAGCTGCACCAAGACCCCAGGCTGGGGAGCAGCCAAAGCTCGGGCTGCCCATGGATTGAGACCAAATAAACTCCCAGCTGCCTCCAGCCACTGCCTGCTGTTTCCGTTCTTGCCCCTGCTTTGGTTCCCCCACACCCAGCTCACTGCTCCAAGGATCTCAGGGCACCAGTGGGAGAGAGGCTCCCCCAGGGTGCGCTGAGCCCATGGCAGGCCCTTGAGACACACGAGTGGCTTGGCCACATTTGCACACCCACTTGGTATGGGCACAAACCTAGCAGAGTGTGGGGAGGTGCATGTGGTTGTCCAAAGGCCTCTGGGTGCAGAAAAGACTCAGCTGTGTGCATGCCCCTTGCATGTCTACCTGCATCAGTGCCAATCACTGCAGCTTTGCATCGACCACCTGGCTCACATGGCAGCCCTGGGTGCATGACACTATCCGGGCAAGTGTGGCTTTGAGTATCACTGGGGCATGGTGCTGACCCAGATACTGTGTGTGCTCATGCTTCTGTGCCTACATGCCTCACTTTGCACCAGCTGCAGGTTGCTGGCAGTGCTGCTAGTGCTGCAGGTCCCTGGCATGGAAAGGGGGTTGGGAAGTGACTGCTGCACACATGTGCCAGCAAGACCCTTTTACACAATGATCTTATGTGGGCAATGGGATTCATCCACCACCTCTAGCATCTGTGGGGCTGTGTTGGGGTCACTGGGCATGATCCTAGGTAACTTGGAGAAGTGGAAGATCAAGTGCCCGATGGAGGCAACAGCTGCAACATGGGAAACTCCAGTCCCAGAGCAACAACAGCTGCCAGCCAATGCAGGAATCTCCTAGAGCTATTAGCCACATGTAGGGGAGCAGCTATGAGGGGGCTCATTCTATCCAGCAGGGACAGACACTCCCAGCCCCTCCATGACACATGCTTGCATAGGGATATATCCCCCTTCCCACGTACACATGCTTGGGTGGAATCAGCCTCCCCCTCACAAATCCTTGGGAACCACTGGGACCTGTGCAGGTGCCCAGCCCCGGCCTGAAGAGTTTTTGCCTCAGGGGGCACTAGGAAGCTTGGAGCATGGGTACACAGGGATCCAGTTCTGATTGCAGAAGATTGGATGTGCTGCTATTATATGTACTACTGTAGAACAAATACCAGGCACTGCAAGCACCCTGGCTGAGATCAGGGCTCCAGAGAGTGAGGGGGCACAGACCCTCCTCTCCCAGCCAAGATCAGGGCCCCCGTTGAACCAGACACTGCATAGAGCCCGTTTATTTAGACAAGGGTGGCCCTCAGAGACAGCAATCTTCATAAGTATGAGAGTCAGGGCTTCTGCCCCCCTCCTAGGGCAGATGCCCCGAGATCTCTCTTTCCTGCTGGACAGGAGCCCCTATCCCACCACCCAAGGCGGTGGACCTGAGTCCCCCCCTCGTGTGGTAGGTGGAGAATAGGAAGGAAGGGGGCTTGTGGCTGCACTTTAACAGTGGTATGTGGCTCAAGAAGAGCAGTTTGGCCGCCCCTGGTGTAGCCTGTGAGGGAGCGCACTGCTCAGCGAGCCTGACTTCCTGCAGGGCACAGGCCATAGCAGGGAATTCCTGCTTTCACCCGCGCCGCTGTTAGAAAAACATCCCAGCCAGAGTTAGAAATGGCCGGGGCAGGAGGCTCCAGCGCCGTGGGGAAGGTGCCCGGCTAGTGACCCTCCCTGGAACAACAGGGATCTTACTTCCTGTCTGGGTTTGTCTCACTCCAGCTTCCAGCCACTGGATCTGGTGAGTCCCCTCCGCCCTGGGCCGCTCTCCCCCTACCTAAGCCCAGCCCTTGGCTCCTTCTAGCGCCCCAGCCCGGGCTGCCCCTTCTGTCCTTCCTGCCCCCTGGCGGCCTGCCCCGGGAACGTTCCGCGGCGGGGCGGGGGCCAGCCCCTCGGAGCCGCTTTGCTGCCCGGAGCCAGCACTGGCTCTTGGCCCCCGGCCCAGATTCCTGCCCCCGGGCCGGGATTGGCTGAGCGCAGCACAAACAGCCGGCCGGCCAGCCGGCCTCCTCCCCGCGCCCGTCTCGCTCCGCCAGCCCGGCCCAGCGCCTCTCCCCGCCTCCTTTCTCCTTCGGGCTGGCCGGAGCGGCGCGGGGCTGGCCGGGGCTCCGGAGCGGGGCGAGCGCGTCTCTCCGGGGGGAGCGAAGGAAGGAGAAAAGGCCCCGGGGAGAGAGCGGGGGTGGCAAGCGGGGCTCGGGATTCCTGCCTTCCTCCCTCCCTCGCCGCTCCGTGCCCCGCTCCCTCCATCCTCGCCCTCTTTGTTCCCCTCTGCACGGGACAGCGCAAAGGGGCAGGAGCTGCGCAGGAGGGAGGAGGCGGACTCTGGGCCGGCCGAGCTGTCTCCTGCCTGCTCTTCGCTGAAGGGGTCTCTTGCCCCCTCTTCCCGCCTCCCAGGCGGCTGGTGGCAGGGCAGGGCTGGGGG